TGAACAGTTAGTAGTTTATTCAAATTTTTTCCATACTTATGTATTGTGCTTTCTGCCTGATATTTATAGGTAAGAAAGGAAACTTGACAGAGCGCTCCATGTCTGTGATTTTATCACTGGTATTAACTGTACCAGCCATCATTGGTGTTGTATATTTCTTGAGATGGCAGACCTATGTTCTTCAGTTAGAGGTGATCCTGGGTGCTATATTGCTGGTGGTACAAGGTCTACAGTCAGTTTTTGGACTCTTTGGTGCTATTACTTTTGCAAGGTAGTATTGAATCTAGATTATAATTTATATAAATTCTTTAGTGATCTGTACTTCTGCCATTCATATATCCAAATTTATGCTTAACACATAAACTAGCTTATGATGAAACATAAGCCTTTTTTTTTAGACCAAGCGAGTGCTCTAACAATTGAACTGTAAGATTAACCCCTCATTGCATGCTTGTAAGGTACCTTTTAATTGAACTGTAAGATTAACCCCTTATTGCATGCTTGTAAGGTACCTTTAAACAACTCCTTGAACTGTAAGATTAACCAGTTATTGCATGCTTGTAAGGTACATTTTAATTGAACTGTAAGATTAACCCCTTATTGCATGCTTTTAAGGTACCTTTAAACAACTCCTTGAACTGTAAGATTAACCCCTTATTGCATGCTTGTAAGGTACCTTTTAACAACTCAAACAATAACATTCTTCCCCTTTTACAAAAAAAGCCCCTTCTTCAGGTCTTATCTCAGGGTCTTGAGATGACCACTAATTGTATGACTTTTTTTTATATAGTTTTAATTTTTTTATTTCCTTGGTTTTTAAATAACGTAACAACTACGTACATTATTCCACTACCATAAGGAAGGCTTCACATTGAGCACCAGTTTATTGTGGTAATTTAATTCTCCTCCCATTTGAGTCAAAGTCAAACCCAAAAATTCTCAGATGCAAGCGAAGTGTTCTTCTGATTAAGCTAAAAAGCTAACACCTTAGTGCTTGCTTATAAGACATTGAAAAATTCAAACCATCACAGTGGTATTGTTTCATGCCTTCTACCATTTTGTAGCTGAGCCACAGAAACCTAGAAATGTCACCTTGAACATGTTTAATTAACATGTCAGTCTTGAATATTATCCTTACCTTGAACTGTTCATGACAAATGCTTTTTTGTTTTTGGTATTCTGTGTTTTGTTTTTTCAGTTTAGATACTTTTCTTTTTCATTTGTTCTTTGTAATCACGTTTGTTTTGTACTCCTGTTGAGGTTTTATTTTTCATTGTTTAAACACATCAAACTTCTGTTGTATCTTAAGCTTGAGATAACACTTGGTTTCTGTGCTGGAATAGTTACAGATCAAGTAAGATACAATGGTTGTTACTGATTGTGTCTCAGATACATCAGACTTCTGGTTTGTGTGAATGAACATCCTTGGTTTCATGATTGAATAGTTCCAGATCAAGTAAGACATGATGGTTGTTACTTATTGTGTCTCAGGTACATCAGACTTCTGGTTTGTTTGAATGAAAATTTTTATCTTATGATTAAATAGTTCCAGATCAAGTAAGATATGATGGTTGTTACTGATTGTATCTCAGATACATCAAACTTCTGGTTTGTTTGAATGAACATCCTTGGTTTCATGATTGAATAGTTCCAGATCAAGTAAGACACGGTGGTTGTTACTTATTGTGTCTCTGGTACATCAGACTTCTGGTTTGTTTGAATGAACATTTTTATCTTATGATTAAATAGTAACAGATCAAGTAAGAAATGGTGGTTGTTACTGATTGTATCTCATATACATTAAGCTTCTGGTTTGTTTGAATGAACATTTTTCATTGTATGACTGAATAGTTCCAGATCAAGTAAGAAATGATGGTTGTTACTGATTTTGTCTCAGATACATTAGACTTCTGGTTTGTTTGAATGAACATACCTAGTTTTATGATTGAATAGTTTCATTCTCTCAATAAAGTTTCCAGTCTTCTTTTTCATAGATATAATGTTTAGTTTCAGTTAAACAACTTTTTAAGTAAAAGAAAGTGAAAGACATTTAAATAAATTTTGGGTGACATTACAACACTTTGGCACACATGAAGCTATTATAATCCATATTAAGTACACTACTGCTTGATAAGTATATAGCTATTGCAATCTTACTTACTAAAAGTCACTTGTTCTTATTCACTCCTCAAGTACACCATCTTTAATGTCTATTGATATCCATGGTCCCTGCAACTGTTGCTCTCCACCTTATTCTGTCCTCTGCTATCTCCTCCTTCTGATTAGTATTTCACCACAATAGAGATAGGACACTGTCCAACACGTCTCTCTCTGACTCGTCTAAAGCCTTCCTCTTGGTCTTCTACATTGTATAACTGCTATATATGTTACTGTTATTGCTCTTTCTTCTCCTGCATGCAATATATATGACCAACTGAGTGCATTTATGCTGCTCTGATGATAATTATAAGCAGTGGCAGCTTTGTTAGTGGCATATCTTTCAATTATATGTTCTTCACTGTTGAATTTCATTACATAGACTAGGCTGCAAATTTGTTTCAAATGCTACAAGTTTTATCTATAAGGTCCCTGTCATATTCCACATTTCTGTTGTATATTTTAATACAGGGAATACATTATTTTCGAATACAGTGATCTATTGAAATGATCATAAAGTACAAAATAAATCCTGTTTGCTAATCATATTTTAATTTCCACTTCCTAATATCATCCCTTGCTGTAATTAATGATTCCAAATAAGTAAATCACTGTAGCATTTCTTTATCATGCTCGTCTGTTTCTTCCACTCCATGGTGAAATGCAGTTTTATCATTTCTAATGGTATACACATCTTTTGTTTTCTCACAGTTAATAACCAATCCAATTCCTTCTGCAGTTCTCTTGAACATTTCAAATTCTTCTTCCTTTTCTCCAATGTCTCCAAACAAGAAATCAACATCATCTGCATTAGCCAGAAGTTGTATTGGTTGGTTTCCCAGCACTATTCCTCCCTCTCTATTTGTCTTGTTACCCATTCCAATATAAAATTGAAAAGCATAGGAGACGAACAACCCTGTCTCACTCCCTTACTAAACTCTCTTCCATCCATTTTTACACCAGAGTTACTATTTTCATATAAACATTTAATGAACTTAATTCATTTTTCAGGTATTCCAAAATGCTTTAAACTATTTCATAGGCCATTTCTCTGCATACTATTATATACCTGTTTAAAGTCGGTAAGCAAATGGTGGTTGTTCCTTGCATATTCTTGCAATTTGACACATAATTGATACAGTATGAAATTATGGTCCATTGTTGATTGTCCTTGTCCCAAACCATGTTGGTATACTCCATTTATATTATTTGCAAAAGACTTGTTAACCCAAAGTATAAAGTTAGTCTATGTTCACTTAATTCTAGTTAAACTTGATAATGCTAAATGTAAAGTTCTGTTCTTTTTCCTGTGACTTAAACATTCAGAAAATTTGTTTCCCTAAAGCTTAGTGGTTTGATGCCATTAAAAAGCTAATTATTCTGCGTGTCAAAGATTCCATTGTATATATTGACTAATAATGGTACCCAAAAATGTCAAGCTTAAATAATAATGCTCTAAACAAACCATTCCCTTCCACTATTTTGAACCATAATATCTTTGATGGAGAGGTACCCCTACCACACCCAACATTGAACATCAGTTTCATTCAACTTCATATATTTTACTGCTGACCTCTTCGATTATTTGAGCCCTCATTCATAGCATTAAAACTGTAAAACTTAAACGAATCCCAAACTTGGACTGCTCATTCAATTGCCTGACTACTGAAACTATATCTTTGGGGTCCACTTGAACTCCTCTAACAAGTTTCATCAGTATTGGTTCATCAAGGTTCACACAACAACTTGTTACACCAGACAGGCAGGTGGACAACTCTTCTTTATTATATAGATGGATAGATATTAGAAAATATTAAAACAAACATTAAAAGGTTTAATCATGAGATCAAAATAGATCATGTCAGATTTATCTTCACTTCATTTCAATACATTTTAACCCTTCATTATCCATAGAAGGATCTTTTCCATTGCCATAATTGATGTAAATGTACAGGTGGAGATGTTTGGCATGCATAAATATACAGGTGGAGGTGATAAAGGGTTATTAGGGTAATTGTAGATCATTTTATTTTTTGTTAGATATGTCAAAATTAGCAATCTGAAAAAGATTTCATGACTTAAAGACTTGTGTTATTATTATTATTATTGAGTTTTGTAGGTGAGGCTTGAATTGGGCAGCTGGTAGCTACTGCAACCAAAAATGTTTGCCAATCAAGAAATACATGAGTATTTATACCATAAAACACGAGTTGTTTATTAATTATCAATCCAGAATACTGATATTCCGATAAGATACATGATCTCCTCTCACATCTAACTTTCCCAATTCAGTGCTGCCCTCTTTATGCAAATTTTTTTGCTTGCCCCAAGCCTTGAGGCTCCTACCTAATCTCATGTGTTACCATGTCATATTGGTGCATTGTTACATACAAATGAGTATGCAACAACCCCCCACCAATAGGAGTGTGAGTGTGACACTGCCTCCTAGCATAACTGTCTCCCTCTATACTGATTTTTCAATCATCACTTTGAGATTAGGGGAAAAGTAAGATGCACCAGAAGTGGGGAGGAAGGGTGAGAAATGTGAGAGGAGGTTAGTATCACTTAGAAATATATTTTCAGTGTTGGAAAATGTTAATTTCCAATAGGATAACCGTGGCAGGTAACACTTGCCACTGAGCAGGATCCTGCAAAGGACTAGAGGGCTCTGTATAAAAGAGGGTAAGAAATAAAAAAAAGACTTACCCAGTCAGAGATGGTATGAGGTGTGAAGAATAGTGAACGAAGGCAGTCCGTAGCCTGATGAGGAAGAAACGGCCAGATGACAAAGAGAGATAGTGTGCAACAAAGGTGTGAGGGGTTGTCCATATGCCAGCTCAAACAATTTTCTCCAACAGATGATGGAAGTGAGCAGCCAATGAATAAGTGAGATGACAAATGTGATGGGAGGACACTTGGAAACTCCAACATGCTTCTCCATTCTATTAAGAATATGCTAAACAAATAAGCTGTTGGACTGATTTAGTGACAGTAACAGAAGAAAGATTGCAAGTGGATGAAGGAAGAGACAGGATTGGGAACCATGAAAGGAAGAAATGCAAACCAAATAACAAAGTATTGTACAAACAGGACAGAGGAGGAAATCAGGATTTGAACAGGAATAAATATAAGAATAGAAGGAAGAGATATAAGGGTAAAAGCACTATCACCCTATGTGCCACTGATGTTTTAGGGAGAAAAGCATCATTCAGAATGCTGACTATCACAGGTGAGAAGGAGGAGAAAATAAGTTTCAAGTGACAGATGTAATAAGGAACAGGAAGCCAAGAATTCAAAAGGAGTTAGTGTAAGGGCATGGAGAACAAAATTAAAGACCCAGTCAGGTAGGCTAGAAGAACAGGGAGGGCTGTTGCCTACCATACTCAGTAAACCTAAGTAAGCTTATCTTATGTCTTCTCAAAATAAATTTCTCTACCTTTCAAACAGATATAATTTAATGCACAAACACTTTCATAAATGAAAATAATGTCTAAAGAAACTATAAAAAACTCTCAGCTCTGTGGTTTTGATCCTATAAATATTCAAAACTTCTCTATGTAATTAGATGGTGGGATACTTACAGGTGAGGGGCATAAAACAAAAGCACCAGAAAGTGCAAGGCAGGTGCAATGGATGCTGCAATATTTAATAGTAATGAAAGTTAAAAGATGTTAATGAGAAAACTGAAACTTGTTTTATTAATATGCATGTTGATACAGTAAGTCAGTTGTAAAAAAAAAGTAATGTTGCGAACTTGAAGAGAATGATTAGATATGTGAGAGTAAATGTTTTGAAGAAAATGTTTTATTTTGATTGCTTTTTTACTTAAATATTTAATTTTGTTACATATTACTTCTAAAGAAGACATTGCTACTTAAGAAAACAGATACAAGATGAGGCATGAGTTTCAAGGTCATTTCTGTGGTCAAGTTTCTAAATTTCTAGTCAACACACAATGTGAAAGGCAACTGTTGCTGGTGAGACTCAAAAGTTAAATTTGAGTGTTGTTTATAGGTTGCAAGATAATTATATTTGAGAACATTTCTAGTATAATTTTGATTTGCATCTCTGAATATCTCATATACACCAAAAATAAAATGATATGCATTATAAATGTTATAGTAATAATAGCTCCAGCCATTATTAGTCTCAAAGTGGGTTCCTCTTCATCGAAAATATTATAGTACTTGAAAATAGTAATTAGTCTTGCTGTGGTATGAAAAATATGTAACATATTTCTTCATTTATTCTAAAAAAATATTTTTTCCTGTAATATAATTATCATCATCAGGCTACAAAGACATTTACAGTAACATTATTTTCAAATCCTTAGAGTTTTTTGATTCAGTTGAATCACAGGTATTGTAGAATGCAGAAACTGAAATTTTATTTCATTTTTATTCAATATAAGAAATTGGTTTCTGCTTGTAATCTCATGATATCTCTTCAAAAATCAAAGTGATGACACCACTGTTTACCTTTCATGGTTTTCAAACAGAATATGCATTATTTAAACTTACATGTTTTAGCATAATCTTCATACCATTTATCTAAAACAAAACTAACAAGTTTGAAATCTTGTCAAGTCAACATAAAATTAGATTATTAGAACACACACTTAAAAGTTGGTGCAAAATCAAGTTTTTTTATTTTTAAGAAAATCGACATCTTTTCATGTATGTTTTATGAGTAAATTTGTAAAGTTAGTATATAACTGAATACTCCACTTAATATTTGGTAGATATCTTTTAAAGTGACAATCTAGCTGTAGTAATTAAAGTTTTACATCTCAGGTTTGAATCTCTCTTACACCAGATGAGTGTCTACCAACTGTACTAAAAGGATAACCCATTAGCTGTCATTTTTTTTTTAAAAACTCAAACTACCACACTCTTCTTCTCTCACAAACAAAACCTGTTCCCAGGAGCACTTTTTCCAAGTCACGTGATTACTGCTAATTGGACAGCAGTTTTTCTATAGTAATTCAATTTTAGTGTCTCCCACAAGCATGATTGAACCTGGGACCTCTTTCACACAAGGGAAGGGCTCCACCAACTGAGCTATAGAGTGAACTCACAAGCAGTTGCTAGTTAAGCAGTTTTTTAGCACCTCAAGCTACCAACAACTAAAGAATCTAATTAATTTACAAAGGTGAAATAAATAGTTTTAAAACCAAATGTAATGTGTAATTATGCAGTTTAAGTTACTGTAAGACATGACAATAAGAACTGTAGGTTTCAAGGCACACACATTACTACTTTCGAATGATACAACATTTTGTCTGAAATAAGAATAGAGGATTGAGTGATACGTGAAAAGTTACATGTAAATTATAGCATTTTGAGGGAATTTAGACCCTTTCATAATCTATTATGGTCAAGAGTAAATAAAGAACATAAATGTAGCTTGCTTTGAGATACTCTTTTTTGAAGTATTCACAATAATAAGTCTAAGTGAAACTTAACCCTAATTTTGTAAAAGAGTAATGTACAACAGTTGGGTGAAAAATTTTATAAAATGGAGTAGGTTGGAGAAACAGACATACCACTGATTCAAAAAATGTGCAACCTAAAAACCTAATGTAATAGAAACCAGTTTATAGGTTAAACTTGTGCCATACTCGGCTGAATTTTTACAATAAAGAACTGATTTAAGTATCAGTAAAGCAATATAAAATGCATAGATAAAGAAACAATATGACAAAGTGAAGGTAATGTAGAAAACATAGTGATGGGTCTTGAGAACATAATATACTGGTGAATTTAAATGAAATTTGAGGTAAGCCTTCTTATCACTGACTAAAAAATTGTAATTCAATTTAAAGGACACCTGAGATACACCTACTTTTCACTGACTAAAAACATGTAACTCAATTTAAAGAACACTTGAGATACACCTACTTATCACTGACTAAAAACATGTAACTCATTTTTATGAGCCTCCCAATGGCTCAGCAGTAAGTCAGAAAGCTTATAATGGTAAAACTAGGTTTGATATCTGTGGTGGGCACAGCACAGATAGCCCATTTTGCATCTTCATGCTTAACAACAAACAAAAAAAAGCATTTTTATAAAATTATTTTCAGTAATTTGTAGGTGTCATTATACTAATGTGAACAATTAATTTAAACTTAGTTTTTTGTATTAAAACTCATTTCTCACTTTGTTTCTTTTTAAATATAGTTAAAGAATGAAGAAATACAAACTTCCTATACCACACAGCATTTTCCTATAAACAAAGTAGATAAAGAATCAAGTTAAATACGTACCTAATTACTTCAACCTTATACATTTTAAGTATTTGGTCTTGAAACAATTCTAAAGTAAACATTTTGTGAAATAATAAAAAAAACATTGTTATTCCTATAATTTACAACATGTCTATCACTGCAAGTATGACTGCCCCACTTATACAATGCAGGCACATGAAAGTAGCTTGCTTTTATTCCTTAGTTAGGGATTGTATAGTGTAAAAATCCCAGTTTTACATAGTTATATTTAAAATTGTATACTACATAATCTTTCTAAATAACTTTTTTTTTAATCAAACAAAACTATTTTATGTTTGTTTTAGGGCATCCCAGTTGACATGATTATTGTTTGGGTGTGGTCTGATAATCTTCAAGATTTCCAATTGAAGAAATGGATTATTGTGAAAGAGATGTGTACTGCTGAATCTTGGCAGAATTGCCATAACATCAAACTTGACCAATTGGACACTGTGTGACAAAATAGAAAAGCCATAAATAATAGCACCTGTTTGATATTGAAGAAGGTTATCAAGAATCTTATGTAAAATGTGTACTGAAGTTGCAGATGAGAAAGCAAGGTATCTTTTTGTAAACAATAATTATTCAGCTAAATATTTGTTTGCACATTTTGTTGATGAAGAAAGCAAGCTCTCTATTGAAAAGAATTAAAAAAAGTATTCAACATCTTTGGTCGGTACCAAAGATAGCAAGATATCTTTTGAAAATCTTTAATAAGACATTTTCTTGTAATAGGAGATTAATATAGTCTTTTCGATATGGTTGTCCATTGCAATGATAATAGTAACTTAAAATCATATATGAGAGCATTATTTGAACTTTTTTTTTAAAATCCTATTTGGAGAAAATAGTTAAGATTTAACTTGTACATTATCAGATCCAATATTTTAATCTACTGTAGATTAAAATTTATTGGAGGAAGATCACCGAGTATATAAAAAGACTGAAACATAGCATGATATCTCTGATTGCTGATTTTAATGAAATTTGTCAAAAAAAGCATTGTAGACAATGCATTATGATATAATTATTGAAGTATAGCACCAGAAAAGTTAGGGTATCACTTTTTTCCAGCAGTTGTTTATTATGGTTTCATTCTACAATTTTGTCTTTTCGCTGTAAATTTCCATTGATTTTAACAGTCATTACTCATTTTTATATAGAATCTTCATGATTTTAATTTTTATTGGTCCAGTTTTTCACTTGCTGTCAAATAAAAAAATATTTTCAAAAGACGTTTTGTAGCCAGTGGATTTTTTTAAATACATTTATATATTTCACAAAATAAAGCTTCTTTACTCATTAGTTGCTTATTTCTGACTGATAATCAAACATTATTTCATAACTATTTCTCACCACTACTATAAAAGTAAGGGGACATTTTTTTTACAGTTAAGAAACCAAGTGTAAACCAAAGCACAAACAGTGTGTAAACCTCATACTACAAGTTGATATAGCTTTTTTTATTACACATCTACTACAATACACAACACTTCTTTTGATTTATCAACAAAAGACTAATGTATTTGGTTTACCACAATGTACATTTTAGACTGGAAGCATTGTTAGAAATGTGGAAGTTACAGAAGGTGGTTTTGAAATATGTAACATTAAAATTCATAAAAGCTTCTAAATGTGTATTATAGTTAAATAGATATGCATGTGACAAACGAAAATCTCACTGAAGTATTTAGTTGTAAACAGAAAGGCGGATAATGTAAAGAAAATATTTATTTGGATCCAGGTTTTCTTTTTCTCTCATTACAAATTTTCACCTGACAAAACAAGATAAACATAATTCAGTCTGTAGAGAAACAAGGTAAATCAAAAGATTAGAAGTATGTATAAAGCATTCACTTATCCAAATAGCTTGGTTGAGGACAACACATATTTGATTATCATCTTAAACTAATTAAGCACTTTGGACATGTAGGAGGGAAGAGGTGTTTCTAGGATGACAATTTGACAAACTTTTTTTTTGGATAGGAGTGAAGAAATATTTTATAGCTCATTCGTGTTGGACTGGTTGCCACAGACTGCAGTGTATGTTGAATAATGATTTAAAGGATGATTAACACCTTCTCTTTCTGAGGTTTTATAAAGCTAAAAATGTGGTTTCAATACTCATGGAAGGCATAGCACAGATATTGTGTGCTTAACAACAAACAAAATTAATAGGGTATCAATAGCACACTAAGATAAATAGTGATCGTGATGAAATCAACACCAAGCACCAGATGGAAGAGTAATTCATCAAATATACATAAGAATAAACATTTAAAGTTGGAGTATTATCTGATTTTACATAGAAAAGTACTGTGAGCCGCTTGGAGGAAGTTCATTAGATGCATTGTCATACCCATGAGTGAGAGAGGAAACTAGTCTAGCCTGATAGAACTAAGACAATTATATGTCAATCAGAAGTAATTATAAAAACCATAATATTAAAGCTGTTGTTAGATCAAGCTGGTCAGTTATCAACCAAGACAACCTCAACTTACTTCCTCTTCCTGCTAGAGATTCTGCTTTAGCTCGTTTCAGGTCCTCCCAAACTCAAAGTTACCATAAGAGAAAAAAGTTCAATTCTTCTGTAACTAAACTACCTATAATTTAAACTTGTAGAATGTAATTAACAGTCTTATAAAGATCTGAAAGACTGAGTAAATGTAATAAAGCTGATTATCAGCAGAAGTAATAAAGCTAACTTAAAGAAGGGTCTTTAAGAATTAATGACCAATAATCATTTTAACTGCTATATTTACAAGTTTTAAATAAATGTTTGTTTCATTCCATGAATTTTGACTCGGTCTCTTATTCTCATGTAAATTTTCTGGAATTGGTGTCCTGGAAATTGTCACCAACTCTGGTTTCCGGGTTTTTAAATAAATACTATTTATAATGGGTTTACTACACAATCCCCCCCCTCTCATTACATTACCACCAGATCCTATTAATATCCTGTACATCTATCAAGTATTAAAGGATGTACAACTAAAGTATGTCATGTATATTGAAAATGAATACTGAACACTACTTCTTCAGTGCTCTATTCTTCAAGCCAAAAGTCGTCAAGCTCATTGAACATAACAAACACAAGTATTGAGCACTCTTCCTTACACATCACATATTCTCCTTGTAAAGAAATACTAATTAGGTGGATGCTGTTTCTCCTCTACCAAAAATATATTCAACTCATAATGCACAGTTGTATCCATTTGTTTTTCTACCTCGGAGCTGAAGAATAAATAGTGGGGAAAAAGCTGAAAAAGATATTGCTTACATCAGGTTTTTTAACCATATGGCCAGGTGGTTAGGGTGCTCGACTCACAATCTTAAGGTTTGGGGTCGATTCTTCATTCCATCAAACATACTCACCCTTTCAGCCATTGGGGAATTATAATGTGACAGTCAATCCCACTATTCATTGGTAAAAGAGTAGCCCAATAGTTGGTAGTGATGACTGCCTGCCTTCCCACTAGTCTTTCACTGCTAAATTAGGGATAGCTAGCACAGATAGCCCTCATGTAGCTTTGCACGAAATTCAAAAAAATGTTTAACCATATGAATTGTGAAATGTAATGATGAGAAAAATCACCTCATTTTATCCATCCATAACTAGTAAAGAATTTGTCTTTATTTAGGTATTTTTGATAATTCTTCTAAATTTTCAGGCAGATGTTCAGCATTTTGTTACAACATTTTTGTAAGCCAGAGAAAGGAAGGTTGTAAAATTGCACTAAAGTCCTTGCTAGACAAATGCTTACACATGTACTTGCTTGGCACTGTTTCTGTGTCATGTCATCTTGTAATGAAGCCTTACTCATTTTAAGGGCTAGAGAACAGAGACTTGCAGATGTTCTTACAATACTTTTTAAAGCAAAATAAGGGAAGGTTGTAAACATGTGCTAATTCCATTGCTTAGAAAAAGTTTAGTACTACAGTGATTGTTCCATAAACCTTTACATGTGTTTGGCACTGTTTCTTTGTTATACTCTCACAGAGTGAGGCCAAACTCATTTCAAGGGGTGGATGGAACAGAGACTTGCAGGTGTTCTTACAACGATTTTGTAAACCAGATAAGAGAAGGTTGTGAACTTACACTAATTCTTTTGCTTAGACAAAGGTTACTGCAATAATTATTCCATGGACTTATACATGTACTTGCTTGGCACTGTTTTTTTTATACCCATACTCGTTTCAAAGAGTGGTGCAGAGATTTGTACAAGTTAGCATTAACTGAGATCTAGTGAAAGGCCCCAGTTCAACTGCATGAGAACAATAATTGTGTTTTTATTCAATTCCTAATGTCTGCTTGTATTTCCTTTGCTGTCTATGATAGAAATCATGTTCTGCATAATGTTTTCAGAACCTGCATTTTGTGGATACTTGTTCATGCCTGTCAGATATTAGTGTAGCTAAATACCATAGGAGTACAAGTATATTTAATAATAGTGATGAAGTATGTTATAGGATGACATGGCCTGGCGGTTAGGGTGCTTGACTCGCAATCTGCAAGTTTCAATTCCCCATCCCACCTAACACGCTTGCCCTTTCAGCCATGGGGGCATTATAATGTGATGGTCAATCCCACTATTTATTGGTAAAAGAGTAGCCCAAGAGTTGGCAGTGATAACTAGCTGCCTTCCCTCTAGTCTTTCGCTGCTCAGTTACGGGTGACTAGCGCAGATAGCCATCGTGTAGCTTTGCGCAAAATTCAAAACAAACCCAACCAAAGTATGTTGTGACATACTTATACCCTGATTACATCATAACCTGAGAGAAGAAAACATTTCCTGCAGACAGCAGAAAGTGTTTAGAGGAATAACGAAAGAAAATTTATACGGAATGTATTTTATTTGACAGTAGAGAATAAGATTCAACAAGTGTTGAAGTGGAAAGAAATTAAGTCAGAACATTTCTAAATTTATAATTAGATTAATGACAATTATAAAGTAATTTTCAAAGATTAAAGTCAGTTTCATTACTATTATTGGTTATTATGCTTAAAATGATTTTTAATATTCAGCCTTTAAAGGTGTTATGAGCAGCATATCGGCAAATGTAATGTATTCCATCTTTATGGCAAGCTATATAGTTTTATCAAAGCAGTTCTATTACTTTTGAGGATGAAGAACCCACTTAGAGAAAACAAAGCTTGAAGATGGATTGAACGGACAATAAAAAAACTTTATTTCAAGTTTAACATAGTATCAAATGTACAAGGTTCTCTCACCTTCAGGTGGGTACCATGTTAAACTTGTAATAAAGTTTTCTTTAATACCCATTCAAGCTTTATTTTATTTCTCTGTGATCTTCAGGGACATTAACATACTAACAATGTGTTATTGTTGTTTTGTGTGTGCGGACATAACTGATTAGGATATGTTGTTTGAATGTTTTTCACATCCACAGTAAGCTATATCAAGATTTATTTTTTCTTCTTTAAAATATGACAAATGGATTACTCACTCTTTATTATTCCCTCCATTTGTATAAGGAATAATCACAAAATAGCTCTGTTGTGCTTGCCTTTGTAATCAGTTGATTTTTTTCTATGGTTTGGGAAAGTGGAATTGATCCTAGATTCTATGACCCAGAGATGGTTGTAGTCATGTAGGGTATGTACATAAATGAGATATAATCAATTACATGAAGCAGTAGTCAATTGTTGATACTCTTGTGTATTGATAACATTTCAGGTGGTTTCCATGCTTGTTAGCCTTAATGTAAGTGGTTTCATACAAGTACCAGCTCTTCTTCTAGCTTTCTGAAATAGTACTGTTTTCTTGTTGCACATCCTTCTACTCTACATATCCCTCTGGACTTTCATGATGTTAGAAAAACATGAAGGTTCAAGAAGTCTTGACAGAAATGAATAAAAACTTTATAACCCAATCGCTTTCGAAAAGGTGGACCTTTCTTCTTCAGGGGCAAATTGGGAATCTCAGTTTGCCCTTGAAGAAGAAAGGTCCACCCTTAGAAAGAGCTCAGGTTATAGAGTTTTTATTCATTCCCTCTGGACTTTGGTAGTCATAATTTTAAAGTCTTTTATATAGCTTTAAGTCTGATATCAGTGGTTTTAAAAACACTTAATGTCACTAACCATGCTTCTTCTTTTCTTTCTTTGTCCATATAGCTAGCTTTGTAATTCACTTTTTCTAAATGTTCTTGCTTCCACTTTTCCAAGTTTTGGGTAATGTCCTCCGATGTGTAATTACATTTTCTCATTTGTCTTTTAGTTTTTTCTTAAATTTTTAGTATTTCCTTTACATTCTTCCAGCTTCTATTTTAAATTTCACATCATTGTGAAAATATCTGTAATGCACTTAATTTCTCTACAACTTCCCAGTTCTGTAACATTTACAGATTTCAGTCCCATTCCAACACAAAATCATGTAATGGAGTTTCAAATGTATTCTGTTGGGACTAAAACATGACTTACCCTCTTTGAATTCATGGATATATTAACTTGCAAATTAGGATTTATCATTATTTTCTCATTAGCTAAGGCTTCCTCCTCATTCATTCTTCTTATATTTCCACTAAGATTTTATCTGATTCACCAAGACTTTCCCTATTAACATACTGTTCTTTTTCACTGCGAGTTTATCTAATTGAACAACTGTCCCAGTGCAATAAAAACAAGGGCTCATGCACTTTTTTTTTCAAAGTATTTCTCTTCAAAATGTCTGTGACCAAATTTAATAAGATAGACAGAAAAATAATTGACCATTCTCCATGATAAAAAATAAATTTATACAAACTGTCAAAAATATTTTCAGTTTTACAATTTTCCATGTATTTAAATGATTTGATTTTAATTCAATTTCAATTAAATTTCTCATTTCTAAAGTTGGTCCCTCTGTGGCACAGTAATGTCTGTGGACTTGTAATGCTTAAAACTGGGTTTCAGTACCTATGGTGGGCACAACACAGACAGCCCTTTATGTAGCTTAGTGTTCTACTATAAATAAACAATCTAAATTTTGATTTTTCAATAGCCATATCAATTCTAAATATTTTTAACCACTATGACTGTAAATTTTTAATTATCAACACTGTCCTCTCTGTAGACTAATGCCATTATATAAACTAACTTTTTTTTTCTTTAAGACTATCTAATTTCAATAACACTATCAAAAAATATTCTTGGCATAGTGATTTAGTCAGTGTTTTTATTAATTGAAACATTGCAATAATGATATCCATATGTCAAACTTGTAACACAATTACACAACATAATATCATTTATAAAAATTGCAACAAAAAATATATGTAATATCATAATGAAATGATACTTTGCAAATATACTGAAAAGTATCCCATCCCTGATGTGTCAGCCATAAGTTTGTGAGCTTATAATGCTAACATTTGGAGTTTGATCTCTGTTGTAGGCAGATCACAGACAGCACATTTTACAGCCTTGTGCATAACAACAAACTGAAAAAACATTTCATCTTTTTCACAAATTATAGTTCTTATTTTTCCTTTCTTTGTTTAATTTTGAGTCAAAACATTAGTTGAAACAAGGTGCCACTTGGTTGGTCAGCATCAAGTCTCAAAGCTTATAATGCTAAAAATCAGGTTTTGTTGCCTACAAGGGTCACAGCACAGATAACCAGACCACTGCATAGTTCTGTGTTTAAAAAACAAAATTTAAAAGGTTAAAATTCAAGGTACTTCTGTAAATATAAATAATTAAAACTCTCAAACTATCAATGTTTTTATAGTACACAATTAAAAAAAACACCTTTATTCAGAGACATGATTGTATGTCGAAACATGTAGTGTCTGTTTTTAGACCGCTGATGGTCTCAGAATAAAGTTTTTAATTGTTTCCTTAAAAACATTGATCCTTTGAGTGCTTTAATTATTTAAAATTGAAACAATGTACACTACATGCACAACATCACAGTACTAGTGTGGGTTTGTTGTTAAGTACAAAAGTGCACAATGGGCTATCTATGCTCTACACACCACAGGTATCAAAACCCTATTTTTTAGCATTACAAGCCCCAGGACTTGCCACTGAGCCATTTCATAAGGACACAAAGTTTAGTGAATAACATCACAGTATGCACTATATAACCTAAAATATCTGAGAGTGTATGTTATTTAATTTAGTAGTTATGTGACGTGTAAGTAACCTCACAGTTCATACTATATCATCCAAGCCACCACACAGTGTAACTTTTAATTTACTAGTCAAACACAAAAATAGAGTATAACTACTTTTTCTCAATAATCCTTCAAAACATATAAGTTGAGATATTTTACATAATACTTTGACGCATATACAATTCCATTTCTTCTCTGAATTACTTATTTAAGAAAATCTGAACATATCAAGTATTCATGGTCATTTTCTCTACATAAAAATTTTTCTTACACTGATGTAAGTGTATTTGGAACATTTAATTTAGATGGTCTGTTAAATTTAAAAACAATTTAAATACAGTAGTGCTCTTATTGCCATTTTTCACAATTTGTTGCAAATTATCATGTCTATCACATGAGCGAGTTTACTCATGTTACAGAAGAATAAGTTCTTACGTGTGTGTGTGTGCGTGTGTATATAATTCAGAATATTTCTTTTTTCCAGTTGTGAGTATTATTATGTGAATAAAAACAAAACTAAATATTTCAATGCTCTTAGCTTTTATTGTTTTTAATAAAAATAAACTTTTTACAGATGTCCAAAAAACATGCACAGCACATTCACCAATCAGGTCTTAAGACTGTAAGCTACTGTAGCACTTTCAATGGTTTCCCTGCAAACCACCAAGTTAGACCTCATTTTAGTGAAAGATTTGGCACTGGTAAGGTACAAAGAAAGTAAAATGTCTTTAATGTGTGTCCACTCTGATAATCAGTTCAGTGCAGTGGACGCTTTGTTAAATCTTGGTAGAAATGGTAGCAATATACTCTCCAGCTATTCACAAAAAACATAAACTTGATTTAAATTTTGTAAACATAATTTTGAAAATTTAAATGTCTTTGTTAATAAATCCCACCAAAGCAGCTGATTTAAAGCATTTTTTTAAGGAATTACTATAGAACAATAACTTTAAGAGCTAACAATAAAACCAACCTTTATGTTCCATCATAAATTATTTAAGATAAGTACAGTCAAAATTAAGACAATACAAAAAAAAAAAGATAATCAAATTGCATTTTATATTTTGCTAATGGTTATCTATAAAGTATATGTATTATAAAAAAAACGAAAAAGACTCCTTTGAATGTAACTAGGAACTATGAATAACAGGGTCAGTACTGTCTCTTCTGGGCTACTTGGAATCAAAATCAAACCATTTTCTATCATAACAATACAGAAAAGTATAAATACATGTATGGTTAGTTTGCAAAATTCTAATGTAGTAAATTTAAACTTAAATGGACTGTATTAATTGGTTACATTTAATTTAATAATTAAAAAGACTGACATTTTTATAGTGGAAAATTTGATGATGACCTGGAATACATTTTAGGTCCAATATGTTCTAAGTCTGTCACTGTTTTTCAGATTGAAAATTAATTAATGGGAAAACAGTTTTATCAAATGATATTTGCAATTATATAACATTTCACAGAATTGGATAAAAAACATTTCCACCCATTAATATAATTTTTTTTCACACAAAATTTGGTATATTGTGTGTCTAACAGGCACTTGTTAGTCTTTAACTAAACTCTTCAGTATATGTTGCTTTACAATTTTAGCTCATTTATAAATGTCTTTTGTGACAAACTTTTTACAAGGTATTCCTTTGTCTTCAGGCATACTTTAATGAGTAACCTATTTTACTGCAGAGTTTGTATGTTTGATAAGGCTCTAGTGCTACTTGCTACATTTTAAGCTTTGCCATTCCATGAAGAAGAGCTGTATTTTCTTCCTGAAGCTTCCTGTTTTTGTTTTCAGATGTTGCCAAATCCTAAAATAAATTAGACAAAACAAAATAAAAAAGATGCTTCGTGACAGTATAAACATGCACACTGTATATCTTTGATGAAGAGGATCCCATTTTTCATAAAAGTTTGGAGATGGCTTGAATGGGTAATAAAGAAAACTTTAGTATAAATGTATAGCATTTTGATAAGATTATGTCTTCATCAGATTCAGATGACATAATCTTGTCAAAACATTGTACATTTATAACAAAGAGTTTTTCATTACCCATTCAAGCCATCTCCAAACATTTATACACAGTATATCTAATCAAGAACAATTTAGACTAGTGGTGGAAAAAGAATAAAAGTAAATCTATTTTATTTATAGCCTTGTTATCTGTAAGAAATCATGTGGTTAAGTTCACTAAAATCAATATTAAATTAAGGAATCTGAACTAAACAGAGCATAAGAATTAGATTAAAACAGTTAATTTACTGTGGATATAATGCAACATCAAGGGGTACACCAGCTCTGAGTAGAACACTTTTATAGTCAATATCAGTATGTGTAATCATTTTAATACAAAAACAGCAAATAAATATTTGAGCTCTTACTAAGTGAGATTTACTGAAAATAAATAAACATTTCTGTTGGTTTGTGGTTCTTGTTACAATGACTAATTCTATTTTTGGAGGATCAGTGTGTTTTCTTTGTTCAGATTTGTTACTTAACTGAGTAAACAAAACCGCTATATGTACCTTATAATTCAAAAAACCTTCCACATGAGTGAAAATGTTCTCATTTGTTTGTTTAGCTTGAAATTATTACAGTTCTTATCATATGTTCTTTTGTAAATTAAACCAGAAGTACCTGCTTTTCTTATATTTTTGGGTAAAACCTGATCGATTTTTCTCTCTCTCTCTCAGGAAAAACTAAATTGAACAGGAAAATTTGTTTTATATTTTTTATCAGTCTTAATTAAATGCCACTAAAAGAATGAAAGTAAAATACAATGATAATATGGTGTAAGAAATATCAAAATTATCACATTTAAAAATTGTTTTTAGTTTTTAATTCAGAAGATTTTTTTAAGGATCGAAGTTACACTAGTGAAAATATAATTAGGGAAATGATTTTATATAATTAACAGTAAATTCAAAGCTTCAAGGTCATAATTTAAAAGGTTAAATTTGTAACTTTGTGAAGATCATAATTTTAATAGAATGAAAAAACACTTATAAAGCATGATTTTTTTAAGATTATACAGAAGCTTTTAGTGTTTACATACAAGTAAACCAGTATGGATATCTTTATTATAAGTAGATTTGAAACCTTTCAACATAGTCATTCAGAAGTATTATTATTTGTATTTTTAACTATATTTTGGAGTTGATTGTACAGAAACTAGGGTCTGTTTTGGGCATCACAATATCTGGAAAACGATAAAAAAGTACTAAAATTGCCTTTCAATGATAATTTAGTAGTAGAGCTTTTAAACAAAACTTCCCTGCACATCAATTCACCTCTTGCAGAAAAAATGTTTCTTCATTTGAAATTGAAGAGAGTTCTTCCATGTTTATCAAGATTTTGGTGAAACTTCATTGCCTTTTGTAAAATAATTCATATTTACCCTAGTGCAAGGTTCGAAGGTGGGGTGTTGCATAAAATATAAACAGTGTGGATGCAGTCATGATGGTGTTCCTATTGAAGTTAAAGCAGCTTAAACAGCAGTTAAAGGAGCTTATTAGCCCATCAAGGATGTCCCTACCAGCTCCCAACTATAACCACCCCTTACTACTCATGTATTCATCCAATCTTTTCTTGAACTTAGTTAAATTTTCTGCCTCCACCACCCTTGAAGGCAACTCATTCCAAAAGCCAACCAGCCTGTTTGAAAAGTAATACTGTCTAAACTGCAGACGACTCCTACGCTGCCAAAATTTGAATTTATGACCCCTAATTCTGTTGTATTCACAGCTAAATACAAAAAAGTTTGATGGATCTATATTATCAGTACCTTTAATAATCTTAAACACCTCAATCAAATCCCCCCTGACCCTTCTCCTCTCCATATAAAACAAGTTTAGAGATTTTAGTCTCTCCTCATAGGACAATCCCACCATCCCAAGTATCATACTTGTGGCTCTTCTCTGAACCTTCTCCAACAATTCAATGTCCTTCTTGAAGAAGGTAGCCCAAAACTGTACATAGTATGAGGCCTTATAAGTGATCTATACAGTGAAACAATAATATTCCTTCTCTTGTATTCAGTATTTCTATAGATGCTACCCAAAATCCTATTAGCCCTATTGCTAGTTACAGTACAGTGTTTAGATGACTTAAGTGATTTTTCGATCACAACACCAAAATCTTTTTCTTCAATTGTAACAATAATTTGATCCAGTCAGATCTAACACCATTTTTTAAAACTCTATGCTTTCTACTCTCCAGCCAATTTTCTATCCAATATAATAAAATTTTTTCCCATACCCATAGATTTAATTTTTGTAACAAGTCTTTTGTGAGGCACCTTATCAAATGCTTTCTGAAAATCAAGGTAAACCATAAAGATTAACTTTTGCATTAACATTATCCCACAAATCCAACCAGCCTACTTGCTCATCCCTACACATTGATCTAATCCTGGCATTCAATCCTAGTGACTAATTAGAGAGTCACCAACAACTATAACTTCCTTATCTCTCCCCCTCATCATTAGCAAGTGCTTGAAACTGATTGCTTAACCTAAACCCAAGCCCATCCTTGCCCCTAAATGTATTATTTTCCAATCTTTTAGCCCTATTTCCTTTCTTAGCTCCCTTGAAATTCTGTTTGCCAACTGTACCATTTGTGTGTAGAAGTTTAAGTTCTTTACTAAGGCCCACCACCACTTAAACCAATTTACATTTATCCCTTTCCACCTCTGCAACTCTACCCAAAAAACCCTCCAACTTTTCTAACCTGCACACTGCAAATAAATTGTACATACTGGCTATTAGCTTCCATAAAAGTACACTTTGACTTAGAGTTTATAAATAAAACACTCTCCTGGCATCTATCACACTTTATCAACTGAGAACCCTTAGTGGCTAGACTATTCTTAACCATAGCTGATAATTATATTGACTATAAAGTGTAATTAAGTTATGATTATATTTAATGCACTATTAGTATTACTGTTAGTACTAATGTAAGAATTGTAATAAGGAAACCAATACATAGATCTCTACTTGTCTGAAAAAAACCCTTGAAATCCCATCACACATTTAATTAACAAAAACATTTCCATTAGAGTAAAAAAGTCAGTACTGCTGATTGGACGACTGATAAGTAATGAAAATCAAAAGCTAATAAATATGCCGAAGTTTATCAAAGTTTTAAACATTTTCTGCACTTAAAGGGTCTTATAAAAACTATTGTTAACTGTGAAAGTTGTACTAATCAAAAGTGGTTTACCTGATGATGTCCAATGAAATGGTAAAACACTGCATGTTTTTAAAAATGAGGCTTTAAATGTTTACATCAAACAAATAATGTCTCACAAGTAAAGGGAGTATGGTGTATATTTACATAGCAAGTAATATTAATGCACATTCAAGAGATTAAATTCTTGGTGGATTAATATGTAAGTAATAGTAAGTTTGTTTTTTATATATTCTGTACTTTAAGAAAAAAAATACCTCATAATTTCTTTAACTTTTTTATTTTTTACTTTTGCCAAAACCATGATTTTCACATTAATTAAGGTGAATATTTTCTGTTTATTGTTTAGAGAGGATCTTTAAAATCTCCTCAAGACATATCACCTGCAAGTATTTTCACTTCAAAATAACACATAATAGTGATATCAAAGATAAAACGTCCAGAATATTGATGCAAATATCAAACAGTTACTTACAGCTAAAAGTTTAAAAACAATATACTGAAAATAGCTTACTTGACTTAGAGTTATGACTTCCTGTTCTAGTTCAAAAATCTTGTCCTCTTTTATCTTAACAAGATCTTGCAGTTTTTTGTTTTCTACTTGATAGTGTTGAAGCAACTGAGGATAGAAGACACAATCAGTATTGAATGTTTACAATGATACATTGGTAAATTGAGTAATATATATGGTGTTAGGATCTGTAAATAATGTCTACAAGGATACACTGGTGTATTGAGTAATACATGGTGTTAGGATCTGTAAATAATGTTTACAAGGATACACTGGTGTATTGAGTAATACATGGTGTTTAGATCTGTAAATAATGTTTACAAGGATACACTGGTGTATTGAGTAATACATGGTGTTAGGATCTGTAAATAATGTTTACAAGGATACACTGGTGTCTTGAGTAATACATGGTGTTAGGATCTGTAAATAATGTTTACAAGGATACACTGGTGTATTGAGTAATACATGGTGTTGAGATCTGTAAATAATGTTTACAAGGATACACTGGTGTATTGAGTAATACATGGTGTTAGGATCTGTAAATAATGTTTACAAGGATACACTGGTGTATTGAGTAATACATGATGTTAGGATCTGTAAATAATGTTTACAAGGATACACTGGTGTATTGAGTAATATATGGTGTTAGGATCTGTAGTTAACGGGTTAATACAGAAATAGGGGGTACCTGATCTTCAACAGTTAAATAGATATATTTTATTATAATGAAATGTTTCTACATAAGTTGACCTGTAATATTCCAGTTTCCTTCTTCATTTGAATAAATGAAATCTAAATATTTAGTCCATACACTAGTCATTTTATATCTAATCTATGATTGAAACATTAATGTGTATTGAAAACTGATATCAAGTTACGTGCGTTACAGGGGCAGAACCAACATCTATGAAAGAAAGGAATCTACAGAGATTGCTGCCCCTGAGAAAGTTTGTCATAAGATGGTGATTCATGGTGAACAACAGCCCATTGTGGCAAAACAGAATCCTGACAGAGAATTTGGCATGATTAATTGTTGTTTCCTGTATTTTTGAGCTGCTTTAAAATTTGAGGCAACTAGAGGAGAGGATCATGACCTCATAGGATCTGCCTCTGACAACACACACTTAAACATATATATATATATATATAGTTTGTATACATATTCATGAATTTGGAAAATTTTAAAAGGAAAAAATCCGCAAAACAGTGACATCTACCATTTCTAATTGTTCTATCAAAAATATAAACTAATGTAGTGATAAGTTTTATAATAAAACAACAATACATAAAATGAAAAATAACATGCAAAAACTAATTTTATGTTTTGTTAAAAAGTTTTTAAGCAAACATCATATTTCATATGTAACCCATTCATTACTAATTATTGAAAATTATCATGATTCAAAACTAACACCTGACAATAATTGTCAAATAAATAGGTACATAATCATCAAGTGCTGGGAAATAAATTGGAAATATGTGGTCCAAAAAAGCATCAAAAATGGGTGAAACTAGAGTACAACAATGATCTCAAAATGGCAGTGATGCAACTAAACAAATAAAGAAGAAACTATAAGAAAAATAGCAGAAAGACTATCATTTTTACCAAAAACAATCAGTGTGTGGACTATTGCTGACTAACACAGGAGAATTGTAACTACTACAACTAGCTCCAAGTGAGAGAGACCAAGCAAGATTAAGAAGAGTTGTTTAAGTAGCTCAGAAAAATCCTCAGATTACTACAAAAGATATCACAAAAAAAATTGACAGAATATAGTCAACAAATTCATGAGTGAACAATTCAACAACACCCTAATAAGATGAATGTCCATGTGCGAAAACCAAGATGCAAACCTTTGTTAAAAACAATGCACAAAATAAAACAATTGGAGATTTATATTAGATACTTAAAAAGACTGATGATTTCTTCAACCAAAATTTATGGTCAGACAAGTTTAAAATAGAACCTTTTTTTTTTTTCACCAAGAAAGTAACAATATGTTTGGAGGAAATGAGGAGAAGAATTTAAAGAAAAGTTTATCGTGCCCAGTATTTAAAATGCTGAAGGTTGTGTGATGGTAAGGGCTTGTGTGTTTTCTGTTTTTACTCAGGCACTAGCAATCCTTGTATTGTTGAAGGATCAATGAATACTTCAAAATATCACGAAATTATTTTATACTTTCATTTGTTACCCAGTGCTAGAAGTTTGTATTCTAGTAAGGTAAGCATTCTGTAAAGTTTATAAGATTCTATGAATTGATTTGAAGGCCGTTGTATCAAAGTGGAAACCAAAGTTGATTGCAGAACACAAAGCTGTATATGTTGAAGAATGGTTAAAAATATTTAGAGATAGATGCCATAAACTTGTTTCAAAATACAAAAAAAAGACTACAAAATGTAAAGGAAGCAAACGGTGGGCACATAAAATACTAAAGTAAGTGTGAAATTAGTTTTGCATGTTTTTTTTTCACTTTTAACACATTGTTTTATTATTAAGCTGAAACTCTAAAGTATCTTTTTCAATACAACATTTAAAAATGACTTTCTTTACAGTTTTTCTCCTTTTTTTTAACTACATAGATACATTTGTATGCAACTGTAGATTCACATTAAATTTAAAAAAAGAACTTTCTTACATCTTGAAAGGTCAGTGACTTAGACATTGTTGCTTCCAACTTATCCTTCTCTGCATGGCTATTTTCTTCTTCATGTTCAAAGTCCGATGAGCTAAATGAAAAAAAATAAGCATCTGGTATAATTAAACACAGCCACAGCATATTAAACCCATGCTTTAGTCTGCTCTAGTCTTGAGAATTGTCATGAAGCTGTCTCCTTCATGCCTCTTCAGGTAAGCTCATATAGAACAAGTATAAAAGCATTGTTAGAACTGCTGCTATAAATCACTACATCTGCATTCTCCACATAATTACTACACTGATCTATTTTTACTGATGTTAATTTAACAATTTACAGTAGCTTTAACAGATGATATAGTGTTTGGAAAAAAAAGAAGAGAAAAAATTAATGGCTCTGAGTAAAACTTATCTATTGTTGTGAACTTGGATGTTGTGTCCTTCCCTCTAGTGTTTATTTTAAAGTTATTATTATAAACTAGCTGTGTACCCGTCCTTGTACGGGTTGTGTGTATAAATAATACATTAATTTAACAATTAACAAACAAATTACTTGTACATTATTTACATTACATTTTAATTATTTATTGTACATTATTATAACAATTAAATATAAGTCAACAAAAGATACTGTGGACCATGTGTTAACTGCGTCACTTAGAAAAAATGGAAAATGTCAAATTGTGATGAGTTGTACTTGTGTGTTTGTAGTGTATCACACATCTGTGAAAAAATTAGTTTTATTTACCGAAGAGCCTCTTGATAGACGACATTGGAAGTACGTCCACCTGGGGCATGGTTAAATAGGCTGCGAGAAGATCTGACTCTTGAGCAGGCTACATATAGTTTTTAAACTCCAAGGATAGTGTTCATAAAAAAGAAAAAAAATATAAGAAAGAACGCAGTTCACAAGTCAAGCGCAAAAGAGCAATGCCGAGTGGACGGGCGAGTGACCCTTAGCAAAGAAATACTTCTTTTAAAGAAATATAACCTTAAAAGCAATAAATAATGCCAAAACATAAACAAAATAAAGCACAGACAGCTGGAGTGATGCAACAAATTTTTGCAGGACTCCGCCCCACGGGTCTTCAAAGTTCCAATGTTATTCTTATGGACATTTTTTTGTTTTAATGATTACCATAGTAACAGTGAATACAATGTAAAATTTTCAAAACAATGTTTATTATCTCTATGTTGGAGCTCTATGTTGGAAAGAAAACAACCCCTAAGGTGAATTCCAAAAATCCAAGTAGCCTATAACCTTCTCATGGTTAGAACATGTATAGAATGTATGTAAAGAACAAATGAAAAAAGTTTCATCGAAATCAGTGCACCCGTTTCCCTCTATCTTCTTCCTACCGAGCTTCCCTCTCTTCTACTGTTTCATTTTCCCTTCTTTAACTGTGCCGAACTCTGTCTTCTTCCTGCCGAGCTTCCCTCTCCTCTACTGTTTCATTTTCCCTCACCAGACTGTAGCGAACCCTATCTGCTACCAGTCGAGCCTCCCTGTTATCCTCAGACTGTAACTTTCGGGAGATTGCGTGCCACTCTCTGTCACGGGCCAAACGTTTTTATCTTTCGACTTCAGACTGGCGGGCTTTGAAGCGGGCCACACGTTCCCGACTGGTGGAATGTTGTTTCTGACCAACAAAGTATGTTTCTAATGAAGTGGAGCTCGTGGATGCCTCATTTCCTCCAGTATTGCTTGAGGGGCCCGGCCTCACACCCTCAACCGATTCAGAGCCTTCATAATCTTTCGCAGACCTACACATCTTCATTCTTTTAGCGTCCTTAGACACTCTGCTTAAGCTACTTTTCTTTTTAGGGGCATGTTGATGTCAGGATATTTATTACGTACAACACTTACTCCTACTTGAGAAAGACTACAAAAAATAAACCATGTAATTGAATTTTTAAACTCCAAGGATAGTGTTCATAAAAAAAGAGAAAAATATAAGAAAGAACGCACATACTTGTACCAATAAGTATTATTTCATTCCATTTCATCAATACATACACAAAATAATGTCGACAAATATATTTAAACCATTTTGAAAGTGTATTAAGACTACGCCAAAGTTCGATCAAATTAAAATCATAAAACTGCTATTAGAGATCAACCTTTATACATGTTCATTTTAGATATGTTTTTCTTAATTAAAATGGATTCTTTAATCTTTCACTCAAGAAAACTACGAAATTTATATGTCTTGACATTGAATGAGACGTCATCTGTTCTTTAGTTTAATGATCAGCAATAACATTGTTAGTATTCAGATTTTGGATGTCACGTACGTGTTAGATATTCTATTATGTACCGGTCAGCATGTTTCTCCAATATACGAACTAAAGTAAGTTACTTCATTAGTAACGTTCTTACAATACCAATCGATCATGTAGTCCACATTTAGAAGCTGTACACTTCTTTATATACACTGTGTTTCTTTTTTAAATGTTGAACTGGTTATTAACGATTTAGGGGAGAAGCCTGGTTTTTGTACTATTTCAGTAGCACAAATGAGAACATTCATACCTCATAGTTGGAGTCAACATTTTATTAAAAACGTTTGCGGTACACTCGAGAACATCAATACTTTATGGATAGAAGTTAACATTTTCTTAAATGTTTTCTCTACACATTCGAAAGATTTTCGCATAGGATTAGAAGTTAGGATTTTGATGTATTCACTAGCCATAAGTTGAAAGATTTTAGCTCTGTGTTAGAGGTTAAAGTCCTAGTGGATACGGTAGAGGTTTAATGTATTCAACACCTTTGAACATCTTCACGTCATTATTATTTCTTGTGCTATAAGTTTGTTAATGTAATCAATTTTAAACATAGCATTATTATCAACTACATTAGTTATTCCGTAAGTACATCACGCACAAAATTTATTTCTCAGTCAAAGAATGGGGCACTTACTAGAAACATTGCTTAATTACATTCAGATGTATAACTATTTGTAAATAGAAACTTTGTTTAGTTATATTCATTTGTAGATCTGTTTATAAACAGAAATAGTTTAATCATATTCGTACATAGATCCAATTGTAAACTGAAACAGCTTAATCATATTCGCATGTAGATCTAGTTGTAAAACAGAAATAGTCTAATCATATTCGTGGGACTAACTGTAATCAGAAACACTGTTTAATCTTATTCAGATGTTAACAAATATGTAAAATGACACTTTGTCGGCAGTCGTTTGAAGCAAAGTTAGCAAACTATCAAAACAAAGCAATTTCAGGACGAAATAATTATTAAGTGAAAGAAAAATGCCAGACGATCTTTGGAAGTGAAACGTGATCAATATAATAACTCTGTTCAACTTCAAGTAAGGTTTTGTACAGCACGAAGAAATCTCTAAATTAATTAATTTTGTACATCATCTACAAAGGTTTAATCCCATGTTTATGAAAGGGATGTTTTAATAAATAGACTTATGTAACATGTATATTAATCTGACTTTCCAACTTTGAAATGCGTTGAATACAACCCCTTAATTCGACTTATAATAATCTACAGTCTGTTACTTTTCTATAATTCACTAACACAAAAAGAATAAATCTCTATATGTATACAGAAAGTGTTAGTTTGTTTGTTTTTAGCAAAGCCACGTGAGGAATCGAACCCTAGATTTTAACGTTATAAGTCCGTAAGTTTACCGCTGTCTCACCGTACAGAATGTGATTCTGTCGTTTTAAACTAAAATATTCATATCAATCTGTTACAGCTGGTTTTGTATCTTTATTCGCATTTTCGTTTAATTATTTGATCTTTGTTACATTCAAAATATTTTACCCACTCTAAATTTCTTTGGCGTCAAACAAACTACGGTGCACTGCTTTATTATTAATTAAGTATTTATTTAATCACGCACATTTATAAAGATTGTTTGTTTTAACCTTCCTTTAAAGCCCGGCTTGGCCAGGTGAATAGGGCGCTCGACTCGCGGGTTCGAATCCCCGTCCCACCAAACACTCGCACTTTCAGCCGTGGGGGCGTTATAATGTGATGGTCAATCCCATTATTTGTTGGTAAAAGAGTAGCCCAAGAGTTGGCGGTGGGTGGTGGTGACTAGCTGCCTTCCCTCTAGTCTTACACTGCTAAATTAGGGACGGCTAGCGCAGATAACCCTCGTGTAGCTTCGCGCGAAATTCAAAACAAACAAACAAACCTTCCTTTAAGGATTTTACTAATGCAAAATACGGCTAGAATCAGTGAGTTTCTTTGTAATATTACGACAGCGGAAGTCACGTGACGCTGGTAACACGTAATGAGTATCTAGAAGGATCGGGGAACATCATGAATAATCCAGTATTTGCTAGACGCCCTCTATTCCTGTATATAAGCAGGCAAATAAAGCGAGATAATTATTTGGAATTGCAGACAGGCAGAGATCGAGACGAATAATTGAGTCAAGTGCCGTAGTGACCGTAAGTAAAGTGCGTGAATCGTTGTGAATTATAGCGTGTGTTTAGATTAAAGTGACTGTAGAAATTAAGTGTATTGCAAAGTTGTATTGAGAAAGAATAAACTAGTTTTATTTAAGAAAGGACTTGTATCGCTGAACTATTTTCAGAAAGAATTTCTACGGAAAATTAACAAACGAACACAGAGACGTGACAGTATGTTTGTACCAAATTCAATGTAAATTGGTCGAAACAAGTCCAAATAATTGACCAAAACCCCTACAATTATGAATTATCTAACCTTTTGACCCCTAAAATGATCAATAATGAACATATCCCTAATTTATATACACATATATATATATGGGACCTGTAAAAACATATCTTTGTACGAAATCTCCAAATTGGCCTAAATATGGTAGAGTAATTGAAAAAAAAAAAACCTAATACTATCCTTTTTATGGCATCCTGATCCCCTATAGTTACTAAAAATAGGCAAGTCTACCATTTATGTTTTTTAATGTGTGGGACCTGTAGAAAAGTATCTTTCTATGAAATCCCATGTAAGTTAGTCAAAATACGGCCAAGTAATTGACCAAAAAAATGATTTTTGTGAGCTCTGGCCCTCCCTAAAAAGACTCAAAATGGGCAAGTCCAAGTTTGTTTGTAGGTCAATGTTGA